GAACCCATGGGTGCCCACAGTGGACAGCCATAAAATAAACTGAGAGCCGCACGCAGTTCCTGAGCCTCAGTTTGACCACCACTGAACTACAGGGTTATTCTTGAGAAAAGGAATTTTCTTCCACAGTCAGTGGGAACTTGTGTCTACTAAATAATGTCTTAATATCTAAAGTAATGGTCCATGAGATCATATGTAATTTTATCAAGTTGGCTGTTAAGTCTTACTGAGTACTACTGGTCTGCTGTCTGAGCAGGTGGGGATCACCTTGGGACTTAGAACATATCAAGTCAAAACAAGCCTATAGCCAAAAGCATCCTTTGCAGTCCTTTCACTGCTATTTCTGTCTAGATAGATATTTGCCTCCCAACGTATACATAACGATGGACTGCCTCATTTAACATGGCTTTTTTGGTCAACTGGAAGAAGAACTCTCTCTGACAAATTCATTCAGAGAGCAGCTGGCGTGATCCTGTACTTAGTGGTGTCCAAGCTTCTCTTTCTGCTTCTTTTTTCCACACATGAAATCCAGACTGAACAATGCAACAAATGTCCAAAAGATCTACTTAGCCTCTAGTCTCCAAGGTCCATGAAAGCCACTATCAGGATCATACTACAGGTCTACTTCCATTTTTGGGCTTTAATTTGGTCACATATGTAGTTTCCCCATGTGAGCTTTCAAAGTAGCATTCAGGAAGTTTACAGTTTGTCAGTAGACCTGAAGGCGTAGTAACTAACTTGCAGAGAGATATACAGAAAAGACTGATCCACACTTTAACTTCTGAAATGCTGAAAACTCACTCCTCAAGAGTCATTACTTATCTAATATTGTGAAAGGCACAGTCTCCCTACAACTGTTTTTTATCCCTCTGATACTGCACACAAATAAATCATTATGTAAATTTATGAGTAGTACTGCAGAAACTTAAATAACCTTTCCTCATTCTTCTTTATTCTGCTATTCTCCTCCCTACCAAGAACTGAAGCCCCTGCCTTTACCCATATCTATTCATGCCAACCTAGATACCTGTGCTTGTGTGCTTGTTTAAATCAGTCTTCCCTGGCTGAGAGATTATAGGAATTGTAGTTCAATATATCTGGAAGGCACCATGTTGGAAATGGTGACATTTCATCTTATTAAAAAAAGGAGCACAGCTTCTTTACCCCCCACCAATAATCTATACGATCTATAAATTAGTATAGGGTTGGACTGAAACTTAAGGTCTGGTACCCCTGTTAGCTTTTTAAAAAAATAAATGCAGATGAATCCAACAGGTAAACACCAGAAATGCAGATGGAAATGCAAGAAAGAGGGTAGAAACCTGGATGTGAAATATAAATAAATAAGAAAAGATGCAAACATTATAACATTCAGCTAAAGAGTCTCTTATGTTATAATGTCAGCATGAATTTAGACATATTTTAAGATACAGAGCCAAAACAATGCTGTGCAAATTTATGCAATATATTCCAAGTAGCACCCTACTTAGTGAACAGGCACCTGTAGTCCTGGCTGAGTCACTTTACCTCAACCATCAAAATTTAGTACAGTGCTGAAGAAGAAGAAAAAGGAAATGAGCAGACAGTTTGATATATTGGTATATTTGTTTCCTATGATAAATCAAGCACGTTCTTTGCCTGGACTTTCCAGGAGCCATACCTAAATGAAAAATACAAAATACTGCACTTGTTATTCAACCTGTGCTAGACTGAGATAGCAGGTGAAAATGGCAAGAGGCTTGATTGATTATAGTAGCACTAAAATTCTTTTAGAAAAGGCTTAAGGGCTGGAGCAGAATATTACCTTTGAGTAATCTATTGCAGAAAGAAGAAATTACATGAATTCAGAGATCACTGAACATAATACATATACTTCAATGAGAACCTTGAATATGATGCAGCTCATAACAAATTTCATTAATACAGAGCTTACTTTACATTGGCTACTTTCTCAGTCACCTAACATGACATATGCATCATAGCTCAGAATACCGCCCCCCAAAAAAGAAAGTTGTTCTGCATATACCTTGTACATGTGTGGCTAATGCTGCACCTTGAAAACTAGGCTAAGGGAAGTTTCACATCTTACTATGTGGCTTAGGGGAATTATTCGTGTAAGATTTTTTCTCATCCAATGCATGAAGTGTTGTTCAAATGCATTTTCTATGCATACAGAACATGGAACACTTTCAGGTAGACAGAATAAATTCAGTCACTAAAACAATATACAGAATAGCAGTTTAGAACAAAACTGCAAACCGTGAAATGACAACCTGCTATCAGCCTCTGAGAGCCTGAAATTCAGCACTGGCAGTTGAAACAACTGAACTCTCCCACCACTATTTCAGCAAATTGATGATACCATCTGCATGGCAGTGAGAATACAAGTCTTGCCAATCTACTTACTAAAAACCAAGGCTATGTTTAAATGATCAGATGTGGCTTCACTTAATTTCATTCTTCCAAAGCTACATCACATTCTGATCCTATTTTGCAGATCTACTCTTAGCAGATAATGAACATATAAAAATTAATATTGAAATTTCAGTTAGAAAACAAGGCTCTACTCTTAGTGTTTCAGTAATTTGCCTTGGTGGTATAAGAACAATCCCGAACAGCATGAACCAATTAAAGCAAATAAGATACATTCAGGTCACACAAACTATATTATATCAAGGTATAGTATAATACCTCTTAATACGTCTTTTTATTTTTTCCTTACTCTTAAATTATCTGGTTAACCAAGAACTATGTCTCATGAACTGATGGAATCTGAACCAACATAGTTGATTAATGGGCAGCTATTAGCCTCGTTACTGAATTCTTAATAGAATGGATAGTTATATGGTACCTGCTAGGTTTCAATCTATTCATTTAGAAAGGGCAAAAGGAAAGGATGTAACAACTGAAGTGTAATTCCTGGTAGAAATCCATGAGCATTGTAGGAAACCTCTTAAGAAGCACTAGCAATGTGACAAGATAAACTCAACAAACCAGGTATTTCAGCTTTGCCAAACATGGCAGCCTTCCCACAAGCAATTTTGATGTAGATAATTTTTAAAAGTTAGGAAAGTGGTTATGTAAATACAACCCAAGATAGTTCACCAAACTTTTAAGGAAGCATTTCAACTAAATTTCCAAGAAGACAGATACAATTTTTTTTTTAGAAAGGTGAAGGGAGTTTTATGGTATGCTGTCTTTTTTAGTACCCATGAAATTACTAACATAGCTACCCTGTCCTAACAGTTCCTGGGACAGTTTTTACTTAATTAATGTATGTATTTTTGGGTCAGATTATATATCTGTACATTTTATGGCCTACTGGAGGGCCAGGAGTAGAGACAAGTGGCTAACTAATGAGGCAAAGGGAGAACAGCGGGGTGGATCTTCCTTCTGTATTGGATTTATACTGCAGCTGTGATGTTGTCTATGAGCCAGGCTCATACCATGCATGAAGAACCCATTGTGAACTATTCTTTAAACATTATATCACTCTTTCTCAAGTATCTGCATCCAAATGCTGAATATTTTGCCTTTTAAAATTAAGAAGGATTTAGTTGTATATTTACATGCTAGTCCAGCAGGCATGGTTTAACATAATACCTGATTACAAGAATGCTTCACATGCAATTTCATAAGCATATGGCATGTGAATTACAAACAAGGTAGTACAGAAAGCACAAGTACACTGACAGACTCAAAATAGAAGGCATCAATTGCTTATCAAAATGTAGAAGCAAAGAGCAGCAGTGGATTAAAACATGCTTTACTTGAAGTAGAGAGCTAACCTAAAATTAGTCGTGTCTGAAGTTTAGCTGCTGAAAATGAAATGGCTATTTCACCAACAATGAAATCCTCCCACCAAAACAAGAAAGCAAGACAAAACCCAAAACAATCATTGTAACTTGACGAATATTCATTCATTGCCATTTTGAAAAATTTATATACCCGAATGTATGAATATACCATGTAAGATGAATATACTAGTGTTTTATTTAGAAATGTATCAAATTTGAGTATGTAAACATCATGCATATATGTTACCAATTATTAAACAAACAAGCAACATGCATGTGGAGCTGCCGGAATAAAAATTAGGGGGAAAAGGATGATTAGCAAAAAGGAACCAACAAAATTCTGACTGATGCATCAAACACCCATCTTCACTTGGCTGAACTCCTATGGCACATGACAGCTACACTCATTTGTAGGTTAGATATAGCAGGATAAAAAACAGCCAACATCATGCAGGAGTGAAAGCAGAATGAAACATGAATGAGGTCTTCCAACTTCTAAAACTGTGGTAATGTTAATGAATCTGTCAGTAGGATGTTGCATAATGGTCAGGTGATTCAGGCAAACAAAGCATTTGAGTGTATGACCTGATATGAGAGCACCAAGCACAACAACCAAATGTAAATTAAACTGCCATGAACCCCTAAGGATTGATACAGGGGTGGGGGGTGGGGACTCAGTACTCCCCTAATAACATGGAATCCCTGGAAAAATTATCCAGTTCTCATATTCTTCCTCACTTATTACTATTTCATGGGTCAACAGCTTTAGAATTTCTAAACTATTTTTAAATTTTGTATTAGGAAAACTTTTTATTGATGTTTTTACTGTATCACAGTAATATTTTGGAACAGTATTGACTACACAGAAGCTTTGGTTATTGAGTACTATATAAGGAAATAAATTACTAAATAAATAAATAATCTACTTCTGCATATTCTCAGAAAACCTATCAACATAACCATAATTCGAGTATATATTTCAACAAGAAATCTGTAGAAGAAATTGAAAACTTTTATGCAGGTGCTAAAGAGGAAATCGATAGCACACCAATTAGGTGTGCTGATAATCATGGGTCACTGGAGCCCAACATAGGAAGCAAAGCAGAATCCAATTCTGGAGAATTTCATCGGGGGTCAGAAATGAACAACTCATAGAATTCTTTAAAACCAAACATTTACTTATTGTGAATACATACTACAGGCAACCAATCAGAAGACGAACAAAAGAGAAAAACCAATACACCTCTTCCAGAAGATGTACACATAGATGGGGAAAGAAAGGGAGGGGAAGTTGTGCCCCTAGAAAGCTGTCAGCCAACAAACTTGCAATTGCCATGAACAGGTAAGAAGCAGAAGCAGAAGGTGACAGAAGTAAAGTTCTGAAATATTCAGAATCCTGATTGCAATTTTTCAGGAACTATCAAGTAAGGCAAAAAGAATTATTACAATGGCCACTGCAAGGAAATAGAAAGGAAGGAGGAGAACCAATACACCTCTTCCAGAAGATCCAGGAAATCAAAGGGAAATTCAAGGCTAGATTAGGAATGATGAAAGACCAACAGGGAATGCATTACCTGATAAAATAAAAAGACTGTGAAAACAATATATAGAAGAACAATGCATAAGCAAAAAACTGATGACAAACTTCTTTGAAAAGGAATCCTATGACCAACCTGCAATATCAGAAAGTAACGTGAACGCTACTCTGAAAGCTTTTGGAAAAAATAAAGAACCCAGAGTAGAAAGTGTAGAAGTATTAAAAGCTGAATATGTCCAAATCCTAACAATAATATGTAAACAATTAAGGAGAACAAAACAATGGTTCACAGACTAGAAACATTCACTATATATTCCAGTCCCCAAGAAAAGGGATGGAAAAGGCTACAGGAACTATAGGAACATTGCACAAATTTCCCATGCAAACAAAAATATGCCTATGGTATTACAACAAAAATTTTTACTCTCCATAGAGCAGGAAATGCCTGATGTTCAGGCTGGATTTGAAACAAAAGAAGTACTCAAGATCTTATTGCAAATACATGGTGACTAATGCACCACTCAAAAAACATTCAGATCAGTCTATGCTTTATAGACTGCAGCACTGCCTTTGACTCCGTGGATCGGGAGAAGCTAGGGATGGTTCTGAAAGAAGTAAGTGTGTTTCAGTATTTGATTGTAAACTGCATTTGTTAGGCCAGAATATGGACAATCAGAATGGTTTCCTATAGGCAAAGGCATTAGACATTATCTTATCTCTGTATCAGTTCAATCTGTACGCATAACATATTATAAGGAGAACTGGATTAGGCTCAGAGGAAGAAGGCATGAAAATTGGCAGAAGATACATTAATAATTTAAGATATGCAGATGATACCATTTTACCGGCAGAAAGCAGCAATGAATTGAAATGACTCCTGATAAAACTAAAAGAAGGAAGTGCAAATGGAGGACTGCAGCTGAACGTTAAGAAAACAAAACTTATGGCCACTGAAAAAGTATAGAACTACTGTCAATGAAGAAACTGAAACTGTGAAAGATTTTGTGAATACCTTGGCTCAGTTATCAATACAAAGGGAGAATTCAGCCAAAAAAAAATGGAAAAAGACTCAGACTTGGAAGAGCAGCAATGAAGTGCTAGAAAAGATAACCATAAGTACATTTTCCCTGCAATCAAGGCCAAAATTATTCACAATATTGTTTTCTCCATCACTATGCATGGGTGTGAAAGCTAGACAGTAAAGAACACTCACAGTAGAAAATGCTTGCATCCAAAACATAGTGTTAGAGGAGCACTTTGCGAATACCCTCGACTGGCAGAAAGATGAACATGTGGTCCTAGATCAAATAAATCCAGAGCTTTCTCTGGAAGCAAAAATTGTTGCACTTTGAGCACATCATAAGGAGGCAAGACTCACTGGAGAAATGCAATCATGCTAGGGAAAGTTGAAGGCAGAAGAAGTGAAATAGAACAACTATGAGAAGGCTCAATTCCATAAAGAAAGCCACAGCCTTGAATTGACAACAGCGAAGCAGGGATGTCATGGATAGGACATTTTGGAGAGCTTTCATTCACAGGGTCACCATAATTTGTAGATTACTGGAGAACATGTAGTAACAACAAAAGTTTTAAACAACTGTCCAATAAATTATACAACAGTATGAAATACTTAATCCTATTTCTGCTACTTTCCATTTTCATAAATATGAGACATCTCCTTTAGTAATAGCAGAGGTGGTGACACAGTAATTGCACCAACTATGGAAAACCCTTTTAAAAACAGCCTCAGATGTTATGCATGCTTTTATTTTCTAAATTTTTGAATACACAATTCATTTTTGACAGTTCCCACATGGGTAAGAGTACATCATGTGGAAAGTATACATGACGTAAAAATCTGCTGGTCCTTTCTATATCCAATCCCTACCTAGGGCAGCAACACAACAGTAACAGTGGCATTTTTAGTCCTTTTTTATGTTTAAACAGTGCAGAAGCATTAATCTCAACATGCAAAGAACAGATCCATTTCTAATAGAACAGCAGATGGAAAAGCTAAATGTAAAGAATTCAGATCACTGTACTACTAATATATCAATCCTTATCATTTGAAATATTGGCCAAACCCTTGCATCTGTGACACCAGGATACCCCTCGATTCCACTACAGTTTATGTGTAAAAGACAAAACAATATGTAGATTTTGCACAACCCCTTCATTCATAAGACATGAAAGAAGCATGCTGGAAATGTTTTAAAAATAGTGTTTAAAATCAGAATGTTTAAAAGCCAGAGTATATTCTGGAGTGGAGTGAATTTCTTAAACTGTGCTTCCAAAAGAACACCGATTCCAAAAGAAAAGTACCGAAAAGAATACTGTTTTTATTATATTATGACATATTCATTTAAATAATTTAAATTTAATATTTAGCTATTAATTTAGATATTTTGATGAAAATGAAACATCACAGTAGAACTAAGGAGAAAGAGAAAATTTCAGTACTGGACTTGATGTATTATGTCATCCTTTCCTTAAATCTCTGCAAGAAGCTGTTTTTACCAACACCATTTTTAACCAAATTTTCAAACATATAAAGAAGCAAAAATCAAACCACTGATATTTTTGAAGGCTGAGAAGGTGATATAGATGTCTGTTTAACAGAAAATTGGGCAGAAGAATATCCAGCAATTCAGAATGAAAATGTTTTTTTAACCTTAACCAAAGACAGTACATTCCCAAGTCATAAACTGTTACAAGCTATTACAGTCATATCACAACATTTCTCTGCAGAAGACTAAGTTGTGTCTGTGTCAATGAAAGAAAATGAAAACTAATGATAGTCTCAAGGTCTACACATAACATTATCTAGTGAGTTACTAGAAACAGAGGACACAAATGAAACAAGTGATTTATTGTGCAACTGAACAGCTAATGTAGGACAGCCATTGTTATTAGTGTGAAATTATGCAAAGGCTGATAGAAATGCTTAATCTGAACTGAATCTACTAACTATAGCCTGTTAATACATGCAAGAACAGGTTGTAATATGCTGACATAAAGCTTTTCTAATCAACCTTTCAAAACCACATGACCTTCTAAAACAATCACTTTGTTAAATCAGACTTCCTAAGGAAAACACCTATTATTTTATTCCATCAGCATGTTAATAGAGCTACAAGAGACTCTTCACATAATACAAGTTAAATAATGGAGCTGCCATATCCCCGTGCTGGTTTTTTGGCCATCCAGCCCAGTATCTGTCTTCTCTGACTAGCATTGGTTTAGATCAGGCATGTCTCAGGCAGAGGTCCTTCCCATCACCTGCTACCTGCTCTTTTCTAATGAGAGGTGCTGGAAGACAATGCTGACATCTTTGTCTGTGAAGTAGGTAAGAAGCTAAAACTCATCCCTGATCACTTTTGGTTTCTGTATATATTTCAGCAAACAAGCTTGTGAACCGCAAGTATGACAACAGAGTTGCTTCATGTACATGTGTACTTTGTTGAACAAGTCACTCAAGTGACTTTGAGAAACAAATATAGCTTATTTGAATCCCATCTTTAAGAACTATTTGTGAATATTTTAATCACCATTTAAATTTTCACAAATATGTACCTGACATGGGTACCTAGCACTAACACAGAAATGTCTGATTTATAGAAATAAGCAGCTGAAACCCATGTGGCTCCAGTGTGATTTGTAAAAATTGGCTGACTATGCACAAACTGTGCTCCAGCCATGTGGTTTCTGGATGCTTATTTGTGCAAATTTCTTTAGCAATTTAAAAAAGTGGTCCATCTTAAAGACCAATGTCCACAAGAAGGCTTCACTTGTGCCAGTACAAGACTAATGAACAGGAATCTGGATGGCTGAATCATAAAAATCTGCTAGATTTTCTCTTGCTATTTGATGCCTAATACTAGTGCTTTTTTTGTAAAAAACGGTGCTGGAACTCACATTGCCGCCAGCAGTAAGCACTCAGCGCGCGACCACACACACCAATCCCAAGCCGAGCAGCGTCCCAAGCCGGGCAGCACGGTCACAAAAGCAGCCCGCAGGAACTATGTTAATGATGTTTGCCGCTGACCTGCTACGCTGACAGGTGATTCAAAATCACTTCATAAAATCCATTGGAAAAAAGGTGCCGGAACCGCTATTCTGGTGTGTTCTATGACCAAAAAAGCCCTGCCTAATACTATTGCAGACATCCAGGTTCACTAGAGCAAACACTCAGAATTCTTGTGCCAATTTCTCTACACTGGAAGGAGACAGCTGCGGATGGGGCATGAGCCCATAGGGAGCAGAAGCCCTGAAAGCACTGTGGCCTAAACGAAATTGTTTGGGTAACAAAACTAAGTAAAATTCTGTCAGCTAGAGCTACCACAGAATTATTGATGGAAGGCACACAGGTATCTTCTAAACATTTCTACTATTTGTTATCTTTCAAGCAATTATTTTGCTCATATATTCAGAATACAGTATACCTCCGTGAAGTCGCGGTTTAGCGTTCACAGCCTCAGTCTTTCACGGAACTTTTCTCCAAGCGAGTCCAAGCCGATCTCCTTGTGAGTAAACCGGCGCCTTGACATGTGATGGCTTACTCACAAGGAGACTGTTTCCTCCGCGTTTGGACTCGATCAGAGAAAACTATCTCTGTGTGCTCTTGCCCTTACCTCGCCATGTGCCGCCCCGCTGGCCCAGCCTGCGCTTCCCGCCCACACTGCCTTGGCAGCCGGCATCCATCGCTGGCACCAAAATTCGCAGTTTTTCACAATTTACGGGTGCTTTAGGAATGTAACCCCCATGAATTTCGAGGGACTACTATACAAATAAAACTTTGTCCCTAAATCCAGCACTAGAGTTATCACAATTGTTCCAACAGTTGCTGCTACCTATAGAGCCTAACTGGTAGAATCATTAGAAGGCTTTATGAAACATGCAGTCAATCCATATAAAATGCAAAATGTAGTCAAAGATATCCACAGTCATACTCCCACCCACAAATATGATGGATCATCTCACCCATTGTTGGGAGCCCTAATTAGCACATTCCAATAAAAAGGTTTTTCAAAGGCACACATTTCTTTCATCTACATGCAGAACTGAAAGTCAGCAGGAGTCCTGATACTTGAAGAAAGCAGAGTGATATTTGCAGATATTAATGAATGGTACCATGGTGCAGATAAATTAAAAGAGTGCCAATAGATTTCAGAGAATTCTTCACCATGGAGGAAAGCATGATTTCAGTACATCTAAAATACCATATTTTTCAGACTTTTGGTAGTGGTGTTGGTATTGGCTGCCAGCCATGGAACTACAGTATATTTCCCTCCTCCCCCAAACAACAGCTTGCTGTATTTGATCTGTATCAGTTAAAGCTATCCACTATTTTTATAGTCATGTATATCTATATCCTGCAGTTAGGAAAAAAGTTCTGAAGAAATCAGGACTACTAGGAAGGCTGCTTTCCATTGGCAGATGGAACTAGGATTCAGAAGAGCAAGGGTCTCAAACTCAACTTACCTGGGGGCAGTCTGGGTGAGGCTGGGTCGCATCACGTATTCCACCACCACGGTGGTGGTGGGCCGCTCATCCCGTGTCGCTCCCGGAGGCCAGCCCAGGCGCTGCCGGCACTTTGAAGGCCACAGGGCGCCTCCCTCGTGCCCCGCCCATCCCAGCAATTGGCCCGTGGGCTGAGAGTTTGAAACCCCTGCAGAAGAGCCTTCTCCAAGGGGAAAGTGATGGTTTGGCAAACTTCATCAATTCTGACTTTACATTGCAGTGCCCTGTCACATCACACACTGCTCTGGATATTACATCAATCCTCTAGAACAGAATTTATGGGGCAAAAAGAACTTCAGCAGGAGGGGGAATAGGACAAAATAATCCCATTGGCTTCTGCCTGCAGGGTCATTTCGTTTCTGGCCTTCTGTTCTGTCCAAAACTGAATCCAACACACAGTGCCTGAAACTCCAATCATCTGTTTCAGATAGCCTTTTAAGAAGATGTATAACACATATGAAGCTAACACTTCAGCAGATAAAAATCCAAAGTAACACAGAGGAAATTCTATCAGGTTCAACTTTCAGACTAGTAATTTTCGTTCTGAACTCTATGATGTCTTAAGACATGGATTAACCTGGCCGTTTAAAACTCACCTATGGGACACAATTTTACCTAAGGTGGATTACAGACACGGCATCACTGCAATCAGGGAGGGAGGGAGGGAGGGAGGCCGGCCAGCCAGCGACAAAGAGTGGTCAGACATAAGGAAAATCTCTATTATTTGTGCTGAAAAGGTAATTTTAGTTGGTAACACTTTCCCTGGTTCAATATAACTATTAAAATGATCAGCAGCACTCTTCTCTCTTTATGACACACTTTTCCTTTGGGGAAAAATATTTTAGAATACACATGTTTATCAGAGAGGGAAATCTGACCTATTCAGGCTTCCCTGTACAGTGCCATTTTAACAGACACTGTTGAGTTATTATTAGACTATAGATGGTGAAGCGGTGTCATGCTCTTAGATGTCCTGAGTACATCCGCATCTGAGTTGCTCTGATGACAACATATTTGCTCCTTGTCATCTGCTCTTTCTCATATTTTTATATTTACAGTATCTCTTTTTCCTGTAATGTCTCTTCCCATGCATCCACTAGGGGCATGTCATGGTAAATAAACTGACCTTGGGATAAAGAAATGGGGATGCATCACATTTAAGCAGATCTTGAAAACATCAGCAATAATTAGGCTATTGCAGCTATGTACTTCTCAGCAGACTACACAATCTGGAACCTTAAACCTTCAGTTTATTCACTTTCCAAGCTAATCACAGTATGTTCTGGGCCACTAATGTTGCCCAACTCAGTTCAAGATGCTTAGTGACACACGATTCATGCAAGGGTATTTGTAGGTAGTTTTTGTTTGCTTGTTTGAGAATGATTTAACAAAATATATATGTAAGGCTGAAAAAATGTAAATACAGAAACATAGCAAAGGAGGGTAACAGAACATCAACAATTTCATATACACTTGACAAATATGGTAGCAGAGCCCAGCAGAAAACAACACATACCTGGTTTGACTATAAAATGAATAGTTTGACCCTAGTGGGAGTAGGGTCATACTTAGAATAGCAGACCTACTAAAATTAGTGGGACTTCCACTGCTTTCAATGGATGTACTCTAGGTATGGCTAAGTTGGAATTCAACAGTGTTTCTTCTACGTTTATCATAAGTGTAACAAGGGAAATAAACTTCTGGCCCATCTGGCTCATGCTGGTGTCCAATCTACCCCGTCTGTTCTGACATAACAAAGAACACCTAGCACAAAAGGAATCCCTTTGTTATTTCCAGTTAGCAATGGAAAATTGGACATAAACTGGAGATTTTCCCACTTTACTCAGCTGGGACTTTTAGTGGGGGATATGTGAGTGAGGCAAGAAAACGGCACTTGACTGACTTGCAGGAATCAGTTTCTGCAAGTACCAGTCAAGTCTCTTTCCATGCAGAATTCTATGCCTCTCTCACGATGCAGAAACAGTGGGTTATGCGATGGCAATGATATCATGGAAGGGGCTTTGTGGAGAGAACCACTTCCTCGATATCATCTAGTTTGCTGAGTTTGATCCAGGGCCAATCCAGCAACCAGAGCAGAAGAGGTTGTACTCTACCCAGATCTGATCATTGTCTTAATTGTCTCTTTTGCTATCATGAAATTCTTTTCACCTGAAGACTTGACATAACCAGAGCTTTTAGGTCTTTGTGGAACTCTATTTCTTGGGTATCCCCTCTCTTTCACTGTATAATTTGTGTGGTGGAGTTATGTTGGGTCAGTGCTGCAAAAATTTCCTTATGTCCCCAACACACCCATGATCAGGGTCTCATTGGCTTCAATGGGGAAGAAATGTTTACAAACATTTTAAAAGCTTGTATTGTATGAAAATCACCATCTATCATCATCACCATCTACATTTTTCCTTGAAAAAATAGGAGTTTATGTACATAGGGGTTTATGTCCATTTTCTCTGATACTCTGATATTCAAAACAAGCTCACCCAATGAGCTTCATGGCCAAGTGGGGACTAGAACCTGGTTGCCCTGAGTCCTAGTCTGATAATATAATCACTACACTAGACTTGTTCCTGGATGTCTATTGTGTGTGTGTGTGTTAGACTTAAAATAAATCCTGCAGGGACAGTTAAAGACATTGCATACATAGCAATTTTCAAAATCAAACATTATATATCAATATAAACAAAATTCCTTGGAAGCAGAAGACCTCATCAACAAGACCAGAAGACCTTATTATACTTAGAATAAGTAGCTTTTCCCCCAGCATCTTTATATATACAAGCCAAATTGTTTGGAAAAAAGTCAGCAAAGAGCCTAATGTATCAGATATCGAAAAAAAAAATCTGGAAAAAGCTTGATTACTGGCTCCCTGCATAAGCAGACATCAACAATCTGAAGGAAAAGCCTTAAGAGATTGAAATTAGAAACCCTTTGAATCACTGTTGTCTAGGAGACACCAAAATCTACTGTACTGGCGACAAAAGAAAGAAAAGGCCAAGTGCAATTGCTAAGGCTTTCAGCCCACTTTCTTTCATGTTGAGTGCGTTGAGAAGGGGGATGGTCCTGCGCAAATGCTTCTTAGATGAATAGCTGATTAAAGCAGAATTTAGTATTCATTTTACCAGTTAGTTAAAGAGGATTCATGGAGGCATCACATCCTGAGAGAACCTAATAGGCATGGCTCTATGAGCAAAACAAGAAAAAGAAAAAGAAACTGGCTTATTTAGTGAGTTCTATTTTACCTACAAGCATGTATAGCCAAAAAACAAAACAAAAAACGATGCAAAATGAATTTCTGTTGGTATTATTTTGGAGCTTTTGCAAATGACTGGACAAGGAAGTATTTA